GTGTATTACAGCCAGACCACCCAGACCGACAGCCGCCCTCTGATGGGGCCGGGGCTGCGGCGGCGCCGGGTGCTGACCAAGGACGGCCGCAGCAACGTGCGCATGGAGCACATCTCGGACAAGCGCTTCCTGTACCTCAAGGACCTGTGGACCACCTTCATCGACCTGCAGTGGCGTTACAAGCTCCTGCTTTTCTCCGCCACCTTCGCGGGCACGTGGTTCGCTTTCGGCGTGGTTTGGTACCTGGTGGCCGCGGCTCACGGTGACCTGCTGGAGTTCGAGCCTCCCGCCAACCACACGCCGTGCGTGATGCAGGTGCACACGCTGACCGGAGCCTTCCTCTTCTCGCTCGAATCTCAGACCACCATCGGCTACGGCTTCCGCTACATCAGCGAGGAGTGCCCGCTCGCCATCGTGCTGCTCATCACTCAGCTGGTGCTCACCACCATCCTGGAGATCTTCATCACCGGCACCTTCCTGGCCAAGATCGCTCGGCCCAAGAAACGCGCCGAGACCATCAAGTTCAGCCAGAACGCCGTGGTGGCGCAGCACGACGGTAAAACGTGCCTGATGATCCGCGTGGCCAACATGAGGAAAAGCCTCCTGATCGGCTGCCAGGTGACCGGGAAGCTGCTGCAGACACACCTGACCAAGGAGGGCGAGAGCGTCCGCCTCAACCAGCTCAACGTGGACTTCCAGGTGGACACGTCCTCGGACAGCCCCTTCCTCATCCTGCCCCTCACCTTTTACCACGTGGTGGACGAGGCCAGCCCGCTGCGGGACGTGTCCCTGCGCTCTGGGGACGGCGACTTCGAGCTCGTGGTCATCCTGAGCGGCACCGTGGAATCCACCAGCGCCACGTGCCAGGTGCGCACGTCCTACCTGCCCGAGGAGATCCTGTGGGGCTACGAGTTCACGCCGGCCATCTCGCTGTCGGCCAGCGGCAAGTACGTGGCCGATTTCAGCCTCTTCGACCGCGTGGTGAAGGTGGCGTCGCCCTGCTGTCACCACGAGGCCGTGCGGTTCGGGGACCCCGAGAAGGTGAAGTTGGAGGAGTCGCTGAGGGAGGCGGAGCGGGAAGGGGAGGGGGCCCCGCTCAGCGTCCGCATCAGCAACGTCTGAGGGGGGGGACACGGAGGTGACATCGGCACCGGGGTGGCGGCGGAGCCCGGGTGGCACCGGGGCAAGGGCGTGGTGGAGGATGCTGGAGGTGGCACCGGATTTGAGGGGACACCAGTGTCTGGAGGTGGCACCAGCCCCAAAGGGACACCAATGTCTGGAGGTGGCACCAGCCCTGGAATTGTCACCAACCCCAAAGGGACACCAATGTCTGGAGGTGGCACCAGCCCTGGAATTGTCACCAGCCCCAAAGGGACACCAATGGCTGGAGGTGTCACTGGATTCCAGGCGACACCAACACCTGGAGGTGTCACCAGCCCTGGAGGTGTCATCAATGCTTGGAAGTGTCACCAGCCTCAGAGTGTCACCAAGTGTGGAAGTTTGGAGTTTTCACCAGTTTCAATGGGACACCAGTGTCTGGAGGTGTCACCAACGCCCAAAAGTGTCACCAACACCTGGAGGTGTCACCAGTCCCAGAGTGTCACCAGTCCCAGAGTGTCACCAGGCCCTGGAGGTGCCACCAGCCCCAAGGGGATGTCAGTGTCTGAAGAAGCCACCACCCCCCGAGTGTCATCGGTGCTGGGGTGTCACCAGCCCTGGTGGTGTCACCAGTCCTTGGAAGTGTCACCAACATCTGGAGGTGCCACCAGCCCCAAAGTGACACCAGTGCCTGGTGGCGTCACCAACATTTGAAGGTGACACCAAAGCTTGGAGTTGCCACCAGCCCTGAGGTGACAGCAGCCCCAAAGTGCCACCAATGCCTGGAATTGCCACCGAACCCCGGAGGTGCCACCACCCCAAAAGTGTCACCAACCCCTGGAGGTGCCACCAGTCCCCAGGGGGCCGCTGCTCCCCCCCCCCC